ATTTGATACCCATATGACTATATCAAATTTGAAACTCTATAGTAAATTCTGCGAAGTATAGAATAAAATAATTGAGGCCCTCTGTATATATATAAGGCTATGCATAATGGGCTCTAAAAATTTGTCCTGGGAACTCAAAACCGCTTTTGGGATTTTGATCTACTAAACGAATACTATCACCTCCACTCAGAATTACCCAACCCCCAGATTGGCTGTAACACATTGCATCACTCGCTATTGCGTCTATTCCGCCGTATTTCGTACAGTACCTCCATTTTTAGTATATTGAAGGCTTCGGAAGAATTTTCGTCAGCATATTGCAGTGCCTCTTCATATTCGGCATTTCACTGATTACAGCCCGAATGAATTTTGTATTTTCATTCAGAATTCAAAACAAAAATACAATAAAAAATGTACAGATCAATATAGCATGTCGAACTGAAAAAAATCATGTGATTTAAAAAATTAAAAATAGTTTTATCAACCCCATAATTGAGGGCAGAATGATTTCAGAATAGTCAAAGATAATTACTCTTCTACACCGTAAGATGGTAATTAATTTTATTTGCCACTAGCTGACCCGGTCCGCGTTGGTATGTTGATTTTGCGATTGGTTGTTGGTGATGATAGTTGTGGGTTAATGAATAGGCCATCAACATTTGGTCTACATGTTTTTTTAATATTAGCGTCTTCGGTTTGATGTCATTTGATTTATTTGTGATTCAGTTAAGTGAAAATATATTCTTTAATGAAATGTAAATAGACATGTGATGTGTTCACATTTCATTTCATGTTAGAAGTCACCATAATTATGTCCCGTCTAAAAAGCAATAGGATTCAGAATGAATAAGCAGTAAAAGTCAATTTTTTAAAGCATCATAAACGTTCTACCTGTTCATAAAATATGCAGCTTGCAGCAAAGTTTTTTCATTCGTGTGTTTTTCTTTCAATGCTTATGCTCGTGAGAGATTGTAAATGATTGAACGCTCATCGAAACTTCATCGCTATAAATTAAAAGCAATTGAATTCTCCCTGTGGATATTTGTGAGAAAAAGCGTATTTTAATCGTTCTCTGCACCCTGTTTTTAACTAGAATTTCAATGTATAAATGAGTTGTAAATGCTCGGTATAAAAAATAAATTATGTATAAAATTTTGGCTTATCTGTATAGGTAATTACGAAGTTCTTTTAAAGCCCACATAAAAGCAAGCATTTCTCTTTCATTGATCGCGTAGTGTTCTTCAGATCGTAGTTAGAAGCGAGTGGTCAGGTGGAATTTCTTATTAAAGTATGGGAATTCTAGTAGAAATTCTTCTGACACAAGAGAGCTTTTCAATTTGTTAAATTCTTCAAGAGCATCTTCACTAAACTGAATTTGAGTCTTACTAGAAGTGTGTTTTGAAGCCCTGCCACTCTTCTTAATGAATCTCCTATAAAAGTCAAAGAAAACTAGTAGATTTTTTAATACTCTAGGAATAATTTAAAGCTTCTACCCTATATAGATTTGTTTTACCCCGACAATTTTGCGTCAAGGGTTTTAGTATCCATTACGAACTGCTAATCGAAATTGGCAGGGAGGTATTGTTATATAGGGCTATACGAAGACACAATCGACACGATACACAATCTTTTGGCATAGGCTGTAGCACCCATTACGAACTTTAAATATCAAATTTGAAACAATGTCGCTCACATTATGGGAAGTATCGTTCGACCGAAAGCACAATTACAACAAACAACAAGCACAATTACTAATACTAATTGTTGCACAAAAGTATAACTAACTAGCTGGCCTGTCCGCGTTTCCGGCCCGTAGTTTTTGTCTATTATGCATATTTGCCAAAGCATAATTATTCACAGATATGGCTGATATGAGTGTTCACGTGCTAGTCGATTAAAAGTGCTTTAAAATACCTGTACCCATATTTAAGCCGTGGGCTTCAAATGTGTAGATGTGCTATACAAATCTATTAAAATGTATATATCAATCTTATCCCAATGTAAGCGATCAAATTAATTTTTAGTATTTTGTACACCTCATAACTGAGAGCTGAATGATTGAAGAATAGCTCAAGTTAATTACTTTTTAAAACCCATTAGATTGTACATTAGAGTCCTCACAAGTCCCTCTAACCATGTCGGTCTGTTTGTCTGCTAAAAGGTGGACTTGAGGGGGTATTAATACATGGAGAAAATTCTAAAATTTGTAGATATGTTGCAATTTTTGTGTAACACTGTGTAACCCCAAATACACATTTTTAGTCAAATCCTTTGAAATATGGTAAAATCAGGAGGTACCTTTATATGGGCACTACTCCGAAACATCGACCTACATTGAAAACTTTCTTCTGCCCTTATAATCCAAGATGACAAATGGAGGCCAAATCAAAAATATAGCAGAACAACATAGCATGTCAAACTGATAAAAATTTCGTGTGATTTAAATAAGTAAAAATAGTTTTATCCACCTCATAATTGAGGGCAGAATGATTTCAGAATAGTCAAATATAATTTCTATTTTAAACCCATTACCGTAAGATGGGAATTAATTTCATTTGCCATTTAAATTGTAAGTTATAATAATTCAATGACGATTCAACACATATTCGGTCCCGTGCTACTTTCTTATATTTGTAATTTGTTCATGTGTTACAATTTATTTCATATAGATGTACATCCCAAATCTACGTTCCCAACCAATATTTTCTTGGGGGTTACAAATTCAATAGAATACAAAATTTTTTTTTCTGACCACACATTAGATGTGACGTGGACTTTGGATACTCCAATGTGAGGACTTTATTAAATAAATTCCGATGTGGCAATTATCTGTATGATGGTTCCCTACCCCCGGGTAGCATAAATACAATTTTTTATCCAAATCAATTGATGAATGTGGTCAAGACCAACATGGACCCTACTCCAAAAATTTCAAATTTTATGCGAAGATGTTCTCTACCTCCTGGAAAAAAAGATGCCAAATAAGGGCCAAAAAATGAAAATAGTGGCCAAGGCCACAAAAAAAGCTTAAATCATACGATGGTTATATAAATATGAAACCGGGCTGTACCCTTATCCGTGAGTTATGACCGATATCATGACCTGCAAAAGCGATTTAAGGTATCTTGAATGTTTGGGAAGAATTTCTGGAAGGATAGAAATCCTTTTCTTACTAAAAGTCCCATTCGCTCTACTATTTTGCACCCTTTATATTTTACTGATTGTACTCCCAAAGAATTTTGCATTTGAGCTCTCATTGGACGGATTATTGTCACATGAAAGAAGTAGGTCCACGCTTTGAAATGATCCCCATTAGGCTTTTTCGGTCATTTCATCATCATGATAATACAAATTGAAAAAATTGACAAAAGGAGAATAACAAATTGAAAAAATGTTCAACTTGTTCGCTTATTTTTTACAGCAAATGTTTAAAGATCCTTACAAAGTTTGTCAATAGAATGTACTATTATTTTAAAATTCCTTTGAAACTTTTTTTTCGATTTTTTCCGATTTGAGAATTTTTGCAATGAGATCTCTTTTTCGTGATTTTTTAGCGATTTTGAAAAAGGATTTATCTTCTAACTTTGGTGTAACCGGGTTAAATTATTTCGATATCATCTATTTCGTTTCTCCACCACATAATTCGGTACTACACTTCCATGTAACCCGCCATCAATTTCAGTTCTCAAGAAATCAAGTCAATTAAATAAATTGGAATTGATATTCGAATTCAAAAATAAAAAATATAAAAAACACTATAAATGTACATTAGAAAAAAGTAAGTCAAAATGGAAAAAAAAATCATGCAAAATAAAACATTACTATTGCACTTATTATTAACTTTGTCATTCCGTTTGTAACTCCTCGAAATACTCATGTCAGACCCAACAACGTACATATATTCTTGATCAGCGTAAAATTCCAAGTCGATTTAGTCATGTCCGTCTGTCTGTCTGTTGTAATCACGCTATCTTTCGAGCGAATTGAGATAGAAGGCTAAAATTTTTCACACGTGTTTATTTTTCCAGTAGGCAGGTAAAGTTCGTAAATGGGTCATGTAGGCCCACGTTCTCATATAGCCCTCATATGTAAGTACCTCCCGATTTTCGGTATTTTGATGATTTTAGCGACATTATTCATCGGAATTGTTTCAAATTTGGTATTTGAAGTTCGAAATGGATACTACAGCCTTAGAAAGAAAATTGTCTGTGCAGGTTCACGTCTTCGTATAGCCCCCATATAACGGTAACTCCTGATATTCGGTATTTTGATGATTTTAGCGACATTATTCATCGGAATTGTTTCAAATTACGTATTTGGAGTTCGTAATGGAGACTACAGTCTGTGACATAAAATTGTCTATGCAGGTACATGTCTTCGTATAGGCCCCATATATCAGTACCTCCCTATATTCTGTAGGTACAATATCCACCGAAATTTTTTGAGATGTCGTATTTGACGTTCGTAATGGGTGCTTTAGCCTGTGACAGAAAATTGTTTCGAATTTGAAAATGGTAATGGCTTATGACAAACAAGGCCTATGTAGGTCCACGTCGTATAGACCCCAATATAACGGCTATATTCGGTATTTTTACAATTTTAACAGAATTTTTTAAGGACTCTATTTTTTGAAAATTTCCAAATTCGTTCCAAATGATGGCCGAACTTATTGCTTTTTAACATGTTGGGTATTATCCTTTTCGGACAGGAGACAATTCCGAATTTGTATGAATCGTTAAAATCAGTCCAGCGGTTCTTAAGTTATAAGCGTAGTAACTAATACAACTTTATTTTTTATATATAGATAACTTTTCCAAAATTTAAGTGTGATATATTACAATCTTAAGGAAATATTTTCAATTTCCAAGTCTTACTCAATCGTTCCTAACAGTAAACTTTTTTCAATATTCACCTTTAGCATTCGAGCGAATTGTGTAAAAAATTCCCTTGAAACATGTATTGACATCAAGTTACTTATTATTTTTGTTTTAATTCAACAGATATGGCGCCGGACATTACTCAGTTCAACAATACCCGTCGGGCAGCAGATCGAGTTACACGTTACGTTAATGTATCTCAAACAGACCTTAATGAGGACGGAAATGGAAAATGGAAAGTTTCAGCAAAAATTCAACAACTTCTAAATACACTAAAAAGACCTAAGAGACGACCTCTTCCAGAATTTTATGAAGACAATGACATCGAACTTGAAATTGCCGCTAACCCTAAAGATCCTAATGCTCCTAAACCTGAAGGAAATACAATGACGGCTGTCCAAGGAGAACAACTATCGGTGTCTGCTAGTCTACCAAGAACATTGGAGGCGGCTGTGCAACGTTATGGCACACATTCATTTAAATCACCAATGGCAACTGTAGTCGATCCAAATGGTAAAATGACGACTACATTAACATATGGAAAATTGTTATCAAGGGCCCAGAAGATTGCATATGCTTTATCAACAAAAATATTTAGCAAGGGTCCGGAACAGGTGACACTTAAACCAGGAGACAGAGTTGCGTTGGTGTACCCAAATAATGACCCATTAAGGTAAGTACAAAACTTTATATCAGTTAATAGGACGAATATTAATCTTCATTATAGCGCCAGAAATCGCAAAGTTATCATGTGAAACATCCTGACTTATAATATTTAACTTGAATGGATAAGTACATAACAAAGAGCGAAGTCGGACGGTAGATTGTCTAAACAAAAAGGCAAAACAAATTGCTGTAATTTAATATAGTGAAAAATAAGATGTAAAAATCAGAAAATTTTAAAATTTTGAATACAAATTTATTTATTATGTAAGGTTTTATATTTATAGCATAAGTCAAATTTCATTTAACGTCTTAGGTAAACTATAAGTCCAATATAAATGACTATGAATAATAATACTTCTTGAAGAATTATATTATGAAATATATACGGAGCAATAGATATATGGGAACCGAGTGTCAACAAATGCCGTATTTGCTTCCAGGATAAATACAGTTGAATGTGTAAAATCCATCCAATTTGGGCTGATATTAAATATTAGGTGCACAATAAACGGCAAATTGGATGAATATATATATATGGAAGCTATATACAAATCTGAACGGATCTCGGTAACATTTTGCAGTGGCATACCTGTTATCTGGTTTCAAATATCATTGTCGTGGAGCGCATATTACGAATGTGAGAAGCTTTTACCCCAAATCAGATGAAACGTATATATGGGAACTATACCTATATCTGAACCTATTTTTACCAAGTTTTAAATATTTGCTTCTGGGCTGAATTTGATGTGTCGAAATCCACTCCATTTGCGTTGATATTAACCGTTTTGTGCACAATAAACGTCAAATCGGAAAAAGATGTATATGGAAGCTATATCCAAATCTGACCGATCAGAAAAATATAAAATTAACGCTTTCGTTAAGGTAAATGGAAATTTTCCACAATGAATTATTTTAAAAAGCCAGAACACAGGAGAAATAACGTCTGAAAATTTTTATATATTGCTTTTGACGAAAAATCGTTTGGATCCTTGGACCATTTAAACGAAAAAGAAAATGGAAAACTTGTACCGATTATAAAAATATATAAATATATATTTTACTCAGAGAAAGCGATCTAACATTTACAAACGCCATTAAACACGAACCATGAATAATATTCCCATTGCAAGGACCATGAATAATATTCCCATTGCAACAAAAACATACCGATACAAATATGTGCATAAAACCGAGTAAAGAAACAAATAGAGGATATGCTAGATAAAGGAATAGTGAGACCCAGTCACTCAGTGCCGGTTTGGATAGTCCCGAAAAGATGGATGCCAGTGACAAACCTAAATGCAGACTTGTTATAGATTACAGAAAACTCAACGAAGTAACCCAATACCAAACATTGATGGCATTTTGGAAACGCTGCTACGACACTCGACTTGGCGAAAGGATTCAACCAAATCGAAATACATGAAAGGATTTTCCAAAAACAGCATTTAGTGTGAAAGGCCATTTGGACTGAAAACGACTTCAGCCACCTTCCAACGGCTAATGAATAAAGTCCTAGGCGAACATATTTTCAACTTCACTTCAAGAACATAATGAAGCTAATTTGAAAATCCAATTAGATAAAAGCGAATTTATGAAAAGGAAACGAAATTTCTCGGGCATGTAGTATCAGAAGAGGGTATTAAACCAAATCATGAAAAGATAACTTCTGTGCAAAATTTTCCTCTACCAAAGACACAAAATGCAAAAAAAAGCAATTTTTTTGGATTCGGTAGTAACCGAAAGTTTATTAAAGATTATTCGAAGATGGCCAAGCCAATGACAAATGTCTTAAGAAAGACTCTGTTGCTGATGTTGAAAATTTAGAATATATAGAATCATTTGAATCACTTCAGATTATTGACAAATTCACCTATTTTAGCTTATCCAGATTTTAACAAAAAATCGTACTTCAAACTGGTACGTACTTCGCTCTGGGAGCTGTTCTATTTAAAATGGACATCCTATTTATAGTACTATCTTATATATATAAAAGAAAGTTGTGTTAGTTACTACGCTTATAACTTAAGGACCGCTGGACTGATTTTAACAATTCATACAAATTCGGAATTGTCTCATGTCCGAAAAGGATAATATCCAAAAAAATCGCGTAAAAATATGATATATTAACATTTTCATTTTGACTTTTGAAATGTACAATAGTAATGTTTTATTTTGCATGATTTTTTTTCCATTTTGACTTACTTTTTTCTAACGTACTTTTGTAGTGTTTTTTATATTTTATTTTTGAATTCGAATATTAATACTAATTTATTTAACTGACTTGATTTCTTGAGAACTGAAATTGATGGCGGGTTACATGGAAGTGTAGTACCGAATTATGTGATGGAGAAACCGAATTGATGATATCGAAATAATTTAACGCGGTCACACCAAAGTTAAAAGATTAAGATTACTTTTTCAAAATCGCTAAAAAATCACGAAAAAGGAGATTACGAAAATTCTCAAAACGGGAAAATATCGAAAAAAAAAATTTTTTTTCAATGGAATTGAATTTTAAAATAATAGTACATTCTATTGACAAAATTTGTAAGGATCTTTAAACAGTTGTTGTTATTGTTATTCCTTTTTTTCAATTTGTATTATCATATGGAATTCAGTGAATTTTTTGTGAACCAAATAAAGAACAAATTTTCACTATATTCAATTTTTCACAAAAAAAACGAAATAAGTGCGAAATACGATGTTAACTGACATCTACCTTTCAACTCCAGGACCTACATCGTGCTTCAGCTGGCAGATGCGCACACACATAAATAATCAAAAATGACCGAATAAGCCTAATGAGGCTCATTTCAAAGCGTGGACCTACTTCTTTCATGTGACAATAATCCGTCTAATGAGAGCTCAAAATGCAATTTTTTTTGGGAGTAGAATCAGTAAAATTCCAAAATATAAAGGGTGGAAAATAGTAGAGCGAATAAGACTTTTGTAAGAAAAGGATTTCTATCCTTCCAGAAATTCTTTCCAAATATTCAAGATACCTTAAATCGCTTTTGCAGGTCATAATATCGATCATAACTCACGGATAAGAGTACAACCCGATTTCATATTTATATAACCATCGTATGATTTAAGCTATTTTTGGGGTCTTCGCCACTTTCTTCTATTTTTTGGCCCTTATTTGGCATCTTTGTTTCTAAGGGGGTAGAGAACCTCTTCGCATAAAATTTTCGGAATAGGGCCCATATAGGTCTTGATCACATTCATCAATTGATTTGGTTAAAAAATTGTATTTATGCTACCCTGGGGTAAGGAACCATCATACAGATAATTGCCACATCGGAATTTCTTTAAGTAAAGTCCCCACTTTGGAGTATCCCCAAGTCCACTTTCACATGTAATGTGTGGTCAGCAAAGAAAATTTTGTATTATTTTGAATTTGTAACCCCCAAGAGAATATTGGTTGGGAACGTAGATTTGGGATGTACATCTGTATGAAATAAATTGTGAAAACATGAACAAATTACAAATATAAGAAAGTAACACGGGACCGAATATTTGTTGAATCGTCTTTGAATTGTACTATGATGAAAAATTTGGACTTTATGTGGTCTCCAACTTATAATTTAAATGACAAATAAAATTAATTCCCATCTTACGGTAATGGGTATAAAATAGTAACTATATGTGACTATTCTGAAATCAGTCTGTCCTCAATTATGAGGTGGATAAAACTATTTTTACTTATTTAAATCACGTGATTTTTTTCCATTTTGACATGCTATGTTGTTCTGCTTTATTTTTGATTTGGCCACTATTTGTCATCTTGGATTATAAGGGGTGAAGAAAGTTTTCAATATAGGTCGATGTTTCGGAGTAGTGCCCATATGAAGGTACCTCCTGATTTTACCATATTTCAACTAAAAATGCATAAAAATTTCAACATACCTACAAATTTAGAATTTTCTCCATGTAAAAGTACCCCCTCAAATTCACATTTTGAAGGATAAACAGACCGACATGGTTAGGAGGACTCTGATGCACAATCTGAGGTGCTAATTGGTTTAAAAAAGAAATTAACTTTGGCTATTCTTAAATCATTCAGCCCTCAATTATGAGGTGTATGAAATACAGTAAATTCCAAATTACTGCTCATTTGACTAAAAATTAATCGACCAGTACGTGAACACCTATAACAGTTATATCTGTGAATATCTGAAAAACTACGGAGCGGCAACGCGGTCCGGGCCAGCTAGTAGATAATAAACTCTTTGCAATTGTATGGACAACAAAATATTTTAGACCATATTTCTTGGGAAGAAGATTTTTGATCGAGACGGACCATAAACCGTTACTTTAGCTATTTTCTATAAGGAAAACTAACTCTATGTTAGTTAAATGGAGACTAAGCTTACAAGAATATGACTACGACATTAAATATAAAAAAGTATTATGAAATTAAGTTCAACGAAGATGGATGTGTATCTAACACTATTCCAGAAACAAATAACCCTCATAAGGATCACCGATCATTAATGAAGAATCACCTTAATGATAGATAATAATATTAATTCACTACATGCCTCAATATTTGATTTAAATCGTTACTTCATACAACTATAAAAAATTTAATCTTGTAAAAATTAAATAAGGTAATTTACCACCAAATTTTAGAGTCAGACGAAAATTAATAAATGGTTTGGGTAAAGAGTTAAAACTTATAACAGGAAATATTCACAGGAAATCAGATCATGTCTTACAAATCTAACGACAATTTCTACTGCTAACTCAAATGAAATAGGAAACATGGCGCGCATATGTAAAATACTTTCTATTCAGTTTCAAAAAATAACAGCTCATATTAACGGACAACAATATACATATAGTTAAAACTAGCTGGCCCGGTCCTCGTTGCCGGCCCGTAGTTTTTGTCTATTATGCATGTTTGTCAAAGCATAATTATTCACAGATATGACTGATATAAGAGTTCACGTACTGGTCGATTAAAAGTGTTTTAAAATACCTGTACCCATATTTAAGCCG